CTCTGAACACCTGATGTCCCCTGGTCTTTAGAACCAAGTCAATGACAATTCACAGCTAGTGTCTTGGGGAAACCACCCAGAGACAACTCTAGGAATGGCTCAAAGGGAGAGGGTTGGGATATCTGTCCTGTGTCCCCCAGATCTACCCCTCATTGCTCCCTGCCATGTGTGGCTCCCAAGATGCAGCATACACAAACAGATCCTTGCCTTTGAAGTTAAAAATCAGAAAACATATCTCAGATACTTAAAAATACAGATTTCATGTGGAATATAAGTGGTTTGTTATAAATCATACCCATCAAGGCCCTGCCACCCATTTCTTTTCCTCATGTGGCCACTACAACTTCTGAAAGGACACTGGATGTCACACTCATCTTGTACAGCAGGTGCAGGTGAGGATGTGGCCCCTTCTGCCTGAAGCCAGCATGCTCATGCTTTGAGAGCCCTGGTGACCTTGGCTAGACACATGTACCTAAGGTACCCCTGAGTGAGAGTCTGGCGACATAGTACCAACTCTACTTTTTGTGGGAACAATAATGGGGGGCACTGGGGCCAGCCCACAGCGTGCAAAGGCTTTCAGATCAGCTGCCAGCCTCACCCTGTTCAAAAAAGGCTGAGCCTGTGATCTCTGGATAAATGTGGGAATCAGAGGCTCTAAGAGGTAACATACTTCAACAAAGCTCACCACTTCAGGGCTGATCCCACTCCAAGTCCCCTTCTGCCGAATGCTGTCTGCTTAGCCTCGGCCAATCCCACCTTGCCCCTTTCCCCAAGAGGGTCCCTGGCTCTGGCAGCACTGGTGCCCAGACCCTGGCCACCCAGGGCAGGCAGGTCCCTTAGAGACTCTAATTACTCCCCAGGCTCCAGCCTGGCATAAACACAGCTTAGACGTCCAAGAAAAGCAGGCTGCCGGCACGGGAGCCTTTCCCCAAGCTAAATGCAGACGCCGGTACTGGGCAGGCTGTGGGTACTCAGATAACAATCGGATGCTGTGAGCCCTGAGCTGACCCCAGGGTGGACATATTCCCACTCACCAGGAGTGACTGCCTGGCCAGGCACAAGGCCCCTGGCGGCCCGTCTTCCGCTGGGAGGGCACTTGGGGTGCGGAGGCAGGAATGCAATTGGGCTGGTCCAGTTCAGAATATATTTATAGAGTGGTCACAGCTGCCAGCTGAGTGGTGCCCACAAGGTCAGGTTCCTGCCGGGCCATGTGGCCAGATGTTTACTGAGATTGTAGGGACCAACTTATCCACCCACATCCCGACTCATCCCACATCCACACCCAGAGGCCCCTCTGCACTAGGGCTCTGCTGGCCCTTAACTTTGAATGGGGACAATCCTCAACTGGTGTCATGGTCCAAGAACGAGAGAAGGGGGGCTAGTGTGAAGATCGAAAGGATTAAAGACATCAGGCTACTCCTGTCATGTCCATATGTTACCCACAGCTTCTGCCTTTGTATATGATCCTGTGTTTTGAGCAGCTCTGACCAGAGCCCACACAGTGTTTGGACATTCTCAGAATTCCCAGATCAGCTACCCATGCTCCAAAGTGAGAAATTTCTCAGGAAAGCCTCAGAGGTGGCTGTGATGAGCCCCTCCATTAGGCAAGGCTTGTGGATGCAGATTCTTGGTTCTCTGCAGGCCTTCTCTCCAGTAAGAAGTGTGGGTCAGCCTGAGAAGTGGATCCTGGTCTCCTTCATTTGTTAGGGTGACACCAAGGCTGATCATGATGTCCCTAGGAGAGCCCTGCAGACAACACAATCTGGGAGGCTTCTCTTGGACCACAGATGTCTGGGCATGCTGTTCCAAGGGCTTTACCCAGAGGTAGACCCAGATCAGGAATGCCAGAGGTAAGAGACATGGACAACCACATTCATAGCACACAAATAAATCTAACATACCCTAAATTACCCTGGAATGACTTGGTGACTTTGACCTACAACACTTCTGAGCCCCGTCCATTGGTGCCAGTGCTGTCCCCTTGGGACTCAGCATATACTCTTGGTTCTCCCAGAGTTGTTACATCCTGTCTCTCTATTGGGAAGTCGAGGAAATAGGTTCTCAACAAGTATGGCTTTGCTGGGGCTTCACAGATGATGGGTAACATGGGGGTCCATAGCCCCATTCCATTTGCTAATTCATAACAGCAACACAGAGGCCAGCTGGTGTGGACTGAGTTCTTGGGCAGTGGTGGGGGGTACAGACAGGAGCTGTGCATGAATAGCTGTGGGCAAGAAACACCGGGCGTTCAGGATACACCATTGGGACGTGTCTCTGGGCCTTTGCACATGCCGCCTCCTTTGTTCAGATTCCTGTGTCCTATTATGAATGCTTGACAAACTTTTGTCATCCTTCAAAAGCCAGCTCACAGACCTATAGCTCTAGGGAGTCTTCCCTGGGTCCTCAGGCACTGGGCTGTCTTCTTGGTCTCTGTTAGCTACCTACTCCAAAGGGAATGGCAGGGTTACACCTCACCCTGTAGCTGGCCAACCAGGTGTGCAGGCGATTCCTGAGCAAAAGCACAGAGAGGCAGAGCACTATGGCTGTTAGTCAGTGGGTAAAGGCATTGGAAACTCTCAGTGCAAAGCCACGAGCCAAGCGGGTATAATGACATAGGGAATCCCAGATTTAGAAGGAGAATGTATCATCCAGCACCAACACACAGCAAAGCAAAACTCTTTATAACTATGTTCTATGTACAGCATCCAAAATGAATGGCCAGGGCTGGGGAGCTGACTCAGTCAAAAAGGCGCTCGCAGTGAGTATGAGACCCTGACTTCCATCCTCAGGACCCACAAGGAAAGTCAGGCATGGTGGTGCAGACTTGTCATCTCAGCACCGGTGAGGCGGGGACAGGTGGAGTCCCTGCCAGCCAGCCTAGCCGAACTGGCCAATTCTAGGTCAGTAAAAGACCCTGTCTCAAAAAGAGTAAGGTGGATGATAGTTGAGGAATAATACCTGAGGTTGACCACACACACACACACACACACACACACACACACACACACACACACCCCAAAACAAAACTCCAACCAAACCAAACCAAAACCAACCACATTTATACTTTTTGGATGAAGTATGTCCTGGCCACATGTGTTCTGTTCTCAGGCTGGGGCAGTACAGGTACCATGGGCCTGGCCTGATATCCACAGAACAAGCCCTGGGTGACAAACCACAGCATGGCCCTGGTGGCCTTACACTGGGCCAGTACCCACTGGAGCAGCACTTTACAGAGAAACTTTTCATGCGAGCTTCTGAGAGCACCTGGGCCCTTCAGCTGCACACACATGTATAGGTCCCGGGCTCCTGATGGCAGGCATCATAAATCTTCCCTGGCAAGTCACTTCACTTTCTGTTCTTCCATTTCCTCACCTATAAAACAGGGCAAGAGCAGCCTGCTCCTGGGGAGATGAAATCTCAGGTAGAGTCCTGCTCCCCCTGTAGACCCTGGCCTCAGCACCTCCCCTGGGCCATACTCTGGGCCCTAAAGGTGGGGAAGTCCCTGGGCTATTGCTCTGCACTGGCTTGGGCTCCCAGGCAGGTTGTCCACGTTCTCCCTGCATTTCCTAGAACTACCTTGGAGTCTTTCTCCTCAGCTTCCCCAATGGGGTGCTGCGTCCATGTCCCCTCCTCCCCCAGCCTGCGTTCCTGGCACAGTGAACTGTCACGGCACTTGTCCCTGAAGTGCATCCTGGCTTCCAGACTCTCTCTGGATACGTGCCTAGTGCCAGCATCAGGGACTTGTCATGTAAGCCCCAGCCCTCCCCATATCAAGTCCATATCCACCTGACACGGTTGCCCTGGCTACATCGGCAGAAACACACGGTGTAGTGGCGACTTCCTGTCCAGGGCCCACAGGGGTTTAGGTGGCCTGGCCTAGTCCCCCTGACCATCATTACGTATCACTGGGTAGTTTGGGGCATGTGCCTCACCAAGAACTGTGTGTATCCTGTCCACTTGGTCTGCCTCTCCTGAGTGCATTCCAGAGCCAGGTCAAGATCTGCAGGATGGGATCAGGGACCCACCAGGATGGAGACAGGTTTACCTTTGAAAGCCCCATTCTCTATGCAGCACAAGAAGCTCTCCCACACGCAATGGCAGTTCAGAGCCATGATCAAGGGGCTCCCAAGGGTCTGACAGCCCACTCACTGTCTTTGACACCCAGTGACCCTAGTCAGATGCCAGCTCCCTTGAAGGAGGCTGCAAGAAGGATTGACAGGATGCGGTTTTGATCATGTTCTAGGATCCCTCCCCAAGGCCCAGTCTCCTGCAGGAGTCTGGGTCGCTTGGGTCTCATGAGGGAGACACGGCATACTTTGCGCAGAGGCTGGAGCACCAGCCCAGCGGGAGGTGAGCAAGTGGAGGCTCTGGCCTCTTAGGAGGGACAGGATAGAGCCTCCTACAGCACAGAACTGTCCCCTAGATGTGGCTGAGTCCTGAACACTGCTCTCTTGGCCTTGCTGAGTGGGAATCCGACCCTGAACAATGCATTATCCACAAGAGTCCATGGTCCTCATCCTCAGAAAGGAGTAAATGGCTCCTATTGGTCACTGGCTTGTGGGGATGTGACAAGGCACAGGCATGGTGGGAAACGAAGTTTGATGGCTCTTCATGAGCAACCATGGGCCCAGTACGTCCACGAGGGATTACCCAAGAGAAATAAAAACACCTGCCTACACAAACACCTGAACACAAACGTCTACAGCAGCAGGATGCATAGTGACCACACATCTGCTGCAGTGACGGGTACATGGTGCCCAAAGCAGGACACTGTCCAGCCATACACAGGCCGAAGCTCTGAGGGAGGCAGCCAGCTCTCAAGTTCTGAACACATGACATCCAGTGAGAGAAGCCAGACACAGAAAGCCACAGAGCATGAGTGTATGTACACGAAATGTCCAGAATAAGCAAATCCATAGAGGTAAAGAGGAGATTAGCGGTTGCTGGAGGCTGGGAGGAGTTGGGGGGAGGGGATGGAATGTTCTAGAACTAGATCGTGATGGCACAGCACTGTGAGCATACTAAAGCCCACAGAACTTTACACTTTGAAAGGGTGCTGTATGGTAAGTGGGGGGCGGGGAAGCCCCTGCCTTGTAGGCTGCCATGGACAGGGATGGTACCCACCACAGCTTGCACCCCAGCCTCTGCCTAAAGAGCTGTTTCTTCCAGGACCAGACCAGCAGGCTGACCTGGCCTGGACAGCCGTAGCCTCAGCACTCCATGCTCCTGCTCCCGTGTGCCCAGTGGCCACATCCAGGTCCTGCAGAGCAGCCTGTTTACACACAGCTGAGGCCAGATTGGCCGGGTGGCCCCCGAGGAATGTGGAAAATGCCGCTCAGGGGCGCTCCTAACGGTCACATTCTGCAGGCGCTGCAGTGCCCCAGCCGGTCGGGGCCTTGACTGCTGCTCATGAATGTTGACTCTGTTAGGTGGCTGGCTGAGATGCCAGCCCCGGAGCAGCCAAAGACAGGACAGACACTGTGAGAGGCAGCCAGGGGACGGAATGTCCCCCATTCTGTCACTGGCACCGGCACCAGCAGGAGGAGCCGGGATGGGAGGAGGAGCTTCCTCAGCCTGTCTCCTGGGCATCGTCTCCAGCAACTCACGTGGGAAGCCATTTACCAAAGCTCTCACCTGTCTTTGCTCTCTCTCAGTCAGATAAAGAGTCTGTTCAGTCACCTAAGGTCCTAGGTCAGGGAGGGGTCAGGCAGAGTGGCCTCCCATTTCTGGCCACTTTTTGCAGACCATGGCTCCAAGCCCGCCCTGGTCTTGTATACTGCAGGGGCCAGGAGAAAAGGAAGTAGGCCTGGAGCTCAGAGGCTTACATTCTTCTCACCCATGGGGCTCACCCCTCTGATCTGGAAGAAGCAGGACTGAGCGGAGGCGGGGTGGGGGCTGAGAGTCACCTAGAGGAAAGGAGAACTTGGTCCCCAGCTCTCAGCAGACAATGCACCCCTCTTTCTTTAAGCGTTGGGTGATGGGAAGGACTGGCTAGGGGAAGTCTAGAATGGCTGGGTGTTGGGTGCATGGCCAGTGTCCTCAGACAAGCCTCCCTGTAGCCTCTCCATGCTCATAAGCAGAGCTTAGCTTGGGCGTTGCCTCCCTAGAGCAGGCTCCATTTAAACAACAGTGTAATTCTAAGAGACCACTTCAATCCTGCCAGGCTGGACATGGAAGCATATGGTTTAAAGACAGGTCACGGGCCCCAGCTCCACTCTGCCAGGCACACGTGCTCCAGTTTGGACTCAGTACGAGCTGCAGCAGCAGCAGCAGCAGCAGCAGCAGCAGCAGCGAGAGAGAGGAGCAGAGATCAGCTCTGAAGAACATCTGGACTCAGGAACTCATTGCTGACCACAGGCAAGCCAGGCCTGCAGCACCTCTGGGTGGGTTCCAGTAGCCTCACCACTGGCTCCTCACCCTTTCCCATACCATGGGGGAGAGATGTACACACTAGAAGACAACACCTGAGGAGGGGATCCCAAGTCGGAAATGATGGCTGCCTTGGCTCTTTGGGTCTCTGGGAAGGGAGGTCAGTTTCCAATATGCACAACTAATTAGGTTGAGTGAAGTCTTTGGAAGCAAAAACAGCCCCTCACATACAGCACAGACATGAGGCCAATGTGGGGGCTTTCATACATAAGAAGAAGTGCTCCTCTGCGAGCGAGGAAACAGCCCTGGGGTGTGTGGAGTCTTGGTGAGCAAAGCACCCTAGTGCAGTGAACATCTACCCACCTATACTGACCTACTTTTCCGCCATTGGAAATGGTGGACTCTTGGCAGACTTCATGACGGGACTGGAAGATAACACTAGACAGCTTCCACTGCCCCAGCCCCAGCCCCCAGGGTGAATGGCATGCATAAATAGAAAGGGGGAGGCCAAAGAAACCTTTCCAGGTAGGCCATCTCACCTCCACACACAGCCCAGAGCCCACCTGGTATCGCCCTCTTGCCCTGCTCCGGTCAGCTCCACCCAGAATGGGGCTGAGGGTGTCAGTCAGAGTCAGAGGGAGCAGAATGCTGTTTGGAAATGGGCTGGACCATGTTGGGAGTGTTGTTCCTTTGGGGGAGGGACACCATTTCACCTGCCTCTGGTGATGGCCAGTGAGGACAGGGACAGAATGGGAGGTGTCCCAGGTGAGAAGGGAAATGAGGGGGTCCTGGGCTTGGTCCCCAGGGTGGGTGTGTGAGGTAGGGGCTGCACTGCGGGTGATCTCACTCTTCATCCTTTTTCACTCAGGAGTTCCAGGAGGAAATGAGGGTGAAGGGGGGGGGCCAGATGGAAGGCTGCGGAGGAAAAGTAGACGGCATCGTGCGTCCTGGCTACCTGCCCCACATTGACCGTCAGCTGGAACCTTACACCCTCACAGGTCTTTCCCATCTTTCTGCTACCCAGGCCCCCGGGAGCTTTGGTGACTTGCCCAAGGCCACACAACCTGCCCTAAATGTTCCCACCATGGGTACTTTTTTGAAGACATGCCCCACCCCCACACCCGGTTACAGTTCTAGAGGAGGAAGCAGACACAGAGATGGAATTCTTCTCAAGAGGGGTGGGAGGACCGGCCCAGAAGCCCAAGCTGCAGATGAGTGTCAGCAAGTGGGTAGCTTAGCCTCTGCTTTCCAGGCCACCCGGGTGTTTAACAAGGGTGAGGGGCATGCCGAGACCCAGGGCATGTCTCCCAAGGGTGGTGGCAGGATGCTTCCTGGCCTGCAGTGCCAAGTCAGAAAAGTTACACACTCCAAAGACCTGGTAGGAAGTGGCATACTATTAACTTCACCAAGGGCAGCTGTGTGAGTTAGCTTAATATGTTGCCTGTCACTCCAGATGACTGACAGCTAGGAGCTCTGGGCCAGACTTAAACAGATCCCCTACTCCTGGCAGGACAGTAGGCGCAGGCTGTTATTGAAGAGGTGAGATCCCATCACAGGAGGCCTGCAAGCAGCTAATGACCTGAAGGGTGGGGTCTTGTGGAGACCAGAACCTTGATGCGGGCTGTAAGTTCACGACCTTAGAGCCCTCATTGGCTCTGAAATCCTGGAACTTGCTGACCTTCACAAAGCCTGGGATATTGCCCGTCAGGAGTCCACTCACTGGCTCTCACCTGTACCTTTCAGGCTGTACCTCACAGCGACTCTGGGCTGTCTTTCCATTCACAATTAGGAAGGCACACTCTGTTGGCTCTGCCCAGCTGTCTGGGACCCCTCGGACCAAGCTTGCGGCAGAAGAAGGCTGTCATCTTAAAGGGACCCCCTGCCCAGTTCCTGCTCTCCCCAGCTAGCCCTGTCAACATGCCCAGGCATTTTACTTGCTTGTCTTGTTATTTTCGGGACTTGGGTGTTGGCTGAGTCAAGACAGTTGGGACAGTGCAGGACACAGAGGCCTCAACACACCTTCATCCCTCTAACAGGCAGAACTGGACCAGGGTCAGCTGGCAGCGTGAGTGGACACTGTCAGCTCCTCTGCTGCTTTCCAGCTGTGCAACGCAGGCCACTCTGACCCTCGCTTTCTTCATCGGGAGCTCGGGGTCCCACCCATCTCACGACTGAAGATTAAATGCAGTAGTAACACGTGGCACAGTCCCCACACAGTCCGGTCAGCCCAGCCGGCAGAGAAGCAGTCAGCTGCCTCAGCTGGAGCCCGAGCCCGACTCGGCAGCCCAGCAGCCCCGTTTTCAGTCTCCTGTGTGCATCGCTGTCTCCACCCTGAGGTCCGGGGTGCAGGACAGGGTCTGGGCGGCCACTGAATCGGGACGAATCCCCATACTCTCTCTCCCCTTCCCGCCATCGCCACGAGGGGCGCAGTGTCCCCGCGGTCTGCTTAGCTTAACTCTGTGGACTTCTCCAGCGGAGCTGCCCCAAAGCAAAGGGGTGGGTGGGGGCGCGATGGGCCTCCAGGCGGAAGCAACAGCGTGGCGACCCTCCAGTCCCCTAGCAGAACCCCATCCCGCCCGTAGCATCGGACCTTAGGATGTCCCGAGCGGGCGGCGGTGGGGTCGCAGACGAACGGCTCCAGGGCGCAATGAATGAGCCACCGCACCACCTCCGGCAGCCCCGCGGCTCCGACTCCCCAGGGCGCTGGCGACGCCGGCTCTGCGCTTCGCAACACGCCGGGGACATCGCCAACCGCTCTCCCAGGGCCCCCGCCAGGCCGCCCCGTGTTCGGTGCTCGGCGCACGCAGCTCATCTCACTACGCTTGGGGACCCGAGACCGGCAGTGCGCCTTGAGCGCAGCGCGGTGACCGCACCCGTCCCCGCACACTCCAGCGTCGCGCACTCACCTCCGCCCTGGCCACGCGCAGTTCCAGCTCCCGGGACG